GGACTTCCTACTGCCCGGAGGGAGGCAGGCAGGCTGCTGAGCCACCTTCCCCTCCGGAGGCCTGGGCGCTGGGGCCGGCCCAGACTCAGTCTGCTGCAGGCCCGGCAGGTGCCTCCCAGCACAGCAAGTGCATGGACAGAGATCTGCTCAGAGCCGTGGGGTGACTGACAGTGGAGAGGCAGGGAGATAAGTTCCCTGGCAAAGCAGCCCCCGCCCCCTAGGGAGGGGAGAGGATGCCAAGCCGCTGGTGCACTGCAGTAACTATGGCAACCGCAAGTCCCAAACTCAGCTTGCTCCTGGCCGCTCGGACTCAAGCCTGAGGCTCACGGTCAAGCACAAGAAGGGGGTGCCCTTTGGCTGGCGTCAATATCATTAACACAGTATTTTCCCTCGTACACTGTCTGCTTTTCATCCAGTGTGTGAGGCATGGGAGGGAGGTGGGCCAATCAGGAGAACAAGAACGCTCAGACCCAGCTGAAACAACCGTGATTAACACCTCGAGGGCACCAAGGAACAGGTAAATGACAGTCGTGAGCAGAGCAGAGAGGAAAACGCAAACAGAATCAAGCGGAGCAACAAGGGACACAGAGTTGGAGATGCTGAGGTTGTGAGACAGAGAACTGAGTTGCTGTACTACAACAGGGTCTGCGGCCGGCGCTGTGGCATAGCAGGCTAAGCCTCTGCCTGCGGTGCTATCATCCCATTTGGCACCAGTTCGAGACCTGGCTGCTCCACTTCCAATCCCGCTCCCTGCTAATGCACCCGGGAAAGCAGTGGAAGACGGCCCATGTGCCTGAGCCCCTGCACCCGCGCGGCAGACCCGGAACAAGCTCCTGGCTCCTGGCTTCAGCCTGGCCCAGCTCTGGCCACTGTGGTCATCTGGGGAGTGAACCAGTGGCTGGAAGGCCTCTCTCTGTCTCTCCTTCTCTCTGGCTGTAACTCTGCCTTTCAAATAAACAAAATAAATAAATAAATAAAAAATGAGGGGTCTTTAAAAAGGTCTTGAAAGTGTATACGTTATGAAATGTATGACTGGATTTTTAGTTTTTGCATTAAGAAACTTATCATTTAATTCTATTTTTCCATAATAATTTAAAAGATTTTTAAAACTGATTTTCATTTTGTTTGAAAGGCAGGGGGCAAGAGACCGTCTGCCTGCTGGCTCAGTTCCCAGATGCAGACGACAGCCAGGGTTGCAGCAGGCAAAAGCCAGGAGCCGGGGACTCGATCAGGTGACCCAACTACTTGAGCCACGCCCTACTGCGTCCCAGCGTGTGCGTTCGCAGGAAACTGGACTGGAAGTGGCAGAGCTGGGCCAGGCTCAAGGTGCTCTATTATGGGATGTGGGCATCCCAAGCGGCAACTTGACTGCTGTGCCAGAAGCTCACTCTACGAACACACACCCTGGCTTGTGTAACCTACACCCTGGCATGTGTAACCTACACCCTGAAGTGTGTAACCTACATCCCGGCGTGTGTAACCTACACCCTGGTGTGTGTAACCCACACCCTGGCATGTATAACACATACCCTGGCGTGTGTTACCTACACCCTGGAGTGTGTAACACACACCCTGACATGTGTAACTACACCCTGGCATGTGTAACCTACATCCTGGCGTGTGTGACCTGCACCCTGGCATGTGTAACATATACCCTGGAGCAACCAGCCAGGTTCAACCAGCGCCGGCTCATCTCTGACACCACAAGCTGGGCAGCCAGGCAGGGAAGGTGAGCCAGGCTGGGAGCAACCAGCGCCGGCTTGTCTCTGGCACCACAAGCCGGGGATGCAGAATTGCATCTTCAACGTGATGTGCAGGCCGGAAGTCACCGTCCCCTTTCCAGTGCTATCCCCGGCCAAAGCGCCTTCCCAACACACGGGGAGAGGGAGGCACCTGCCGAGGGCCCGGAACAGAGTTTGACCCCCACAGTCGGGACGTGACCCCAGTCACATGATCTGACCTGAAGCACAGGGTGCAGAATTCAAGACATGGTGGACGTGGAGAAGCCCACGCCAACTCCAACGCCAGCTGCACAAGGCAGTGACAAGCAGGCCGGAAAGGTTTAAGAGGGTGACAGATGTCAGCAAGTGCACAGAGCCAGGGGCACGGCCAAGGGAAGCGTCACAAGCTCCCCAGTCCAGGCTCCTGAACGCCCGTCTGACTTGAAGTCAGCTACTCGCATGCTGGTAACTATGGCTACGAAAATCAGAGACGTAATTGGTAGAGGCAGAGAGACAAAGTCAGGAAAACGTCCAGGGAACCTACAGCAACTGCAAGCAGGCGTGTGTGTGCTGCACAGGGTCTTACACACACACGTCCACTCTGAGCCTGCGGGTCAGGTCTGCATCACGGCCGGCGGCGCCTCCTCCAGGGCTCACCAGGCTGACTCCGCAGCAGCTGGGCCGCGGCCTCACTGGCAGGCTCCGTCCCAAGCTCATGGATGGGAGAACTGAGCTCCCTGAGGTTTCAGGACGGACGTCCCATTTTCTCCTGGATGCTGGCTGGGGGTGCTCTGAGCACCCAGGAGCTGCCCCTGGTCCCGGCCAAGGGACCCCCACACCAGCAGCTTCCTGCTTCAAGGCCTGCAGAAAATCCGTGTAGCTCAACCCAAGCCAGCCATGGCCAGCCCTGCCGGCGTGCCCAGCGAGGGCGTCTTACAGGCCTGGAGTTCTGCCGAGCACGAGGTGCAACAAACAGGAAGTAGAGAATAAGAGACTAAACACAAAACCAGGGGGACCAGAAATTACGATAAAATGCTGCGACGCCCAGCATCACGACGAGAAAGTTTACTCCTTGTCTCTTTCCCGTGTTCATGACCCGTGTTCTGTGACACGTGTGACCCACGTGTACCATACAGGTCCCTGTCTGTCTTGTTTTTTATATTATGATGAGCATTTCCCGCATGTTAAAAAGTTCCAAAACAAAATTCCCATGGCTTTATGCATCGTAAGTATAAAATCATTCTCCTGTGGCCTTTTAACCAATTTGTCTGAGTGTGCTGCATGTGTGTTTTCATACACGAAGCAGAAAACATCCTTGAGAGGAGAATGAAAGTTCCCTGGCGTTCTGGTGCCTCTAAGCACAGCAAACCTCCCCCTAGGAACGCCCGTGCTCTGGGCACCGTGCGAACCTGCTGGTTCTGGATACTGGCCACGGTCACCGTTACCCAAAAATATCTGCCACACACCCAGCAAACAGTAACTCTGGAAAACGTAGGCACAGTGAGAGCTCAGCGGACCCCAGCTCAGTCCCACCCTGTTCTCCAAACCCAGACTCCGCCTGGGGGCTTCTGGCTTTGAGCGCTGCCAGCAGCAGGGCAGCGGGTGCCAGGCACGTGTGCAGCTCCCTGGAGCCCGCCCGGGCCGGCAGCTTTCACGGTGTTCAGGACACAAACGCATCTGCATCGCTTACCGGTCCTCTGGGACGACGCATTCCCCACGTCGTCTAAGGCGACGCGGACCCAGAGCAGATTCGGTGTCGGCTTTTTATGACCCAGCGCCTCCTAAAGCCGCCGGTGCTGTGCTGTGACTCACTCACTTGCCAGGCTCCCCTCCTTTTATGCAATCACGAAGCATGAACATGAGATTGCGATCCTGGCCTCTGGGTGAGATTCCTTAACCCCTGCACAGACCGAGGCCGCCTCATCTCATCTCTGGACTCCAGACTCCCGAGAGAGACCCAAGGGGCAGCAGCACTCCACGAGTGGTCGGCGGCACCCCGGCCGCCCCGCCGCAGACCCGCGATTCCTGCGAAGCTCCCTGTCCCGCTGGAACTGTCCCCGGCCGCGGCACCCTGCTTACGGGCGGACTCGCCGTGTCTAACGCTGAACTGCGGGGGCGGGGGGAGGGGGGCGTCCTGGGGGCAGAGCCCATGTCTTCCTCACCGGCCGCCGCCATTTGTAATCCAAACTGACAGCACTGACGTCTGCTCCGGGGCTGAGAGGCGGGGAAGGGGCCAGCGAGACCCACGGTGCGCGCTCCCCGGGAACAGGGGTCGCTCCTGTCGCCGCCTGCTACAGCAGCATCGTTTTCCTGTTGCTTCTGGAGTTCAGCAGAAGGCACGAGGAGTTCAGACTGCGGGAGCACTGGTCACAGGCCCGCCTCCTCCGGTCCACGTCCTGGGCAGGGGACCCCTCGGACTCCCATCTGTCTGCTGCAGGCAGGCCCTTGAGGCACGTTACGCAGTTGGCTCCAACTCCGAGCACCTTGAATCCCCCCGAGCGCTCTCAGCAGACAGTCAGATCCCAGCAAGGTGAGAACGTGCCCGCAGGACCTGGTCCTCAGAGCCGCGGCACACGTGTCCTGCAGACCGAAGACCAAGGATGCAGTGAGAGACAGGAAGTCGGTTTTGTTTGGGCAGATCTGCGTGTTTCTCCTTTAAGAAGAGGTTAAGTTGGTACTAACACCTCCCCTTCCCCCAGGGAGGAGAGCCCCCCCCCCCCCCGAAAGATGGTCCCTTTCCGGCACGGCAGTGCAGCAATGGAGGCCGTCGCAAAGTGGAAGCAAATGGCGACCACCACAGCACTGAGAGCAGCCGTGCCTTCCAGTGGGACAGCGGGGACAGCGGGGACAGCGGGGACAGCGGGGACAGCCAGGACAGAGGGGACAGCGGGGACAGCCGGGACAGCGGGGACAGCCGGGACAGCGGGGGCAGCCGGGACAGAGGGGACAGCTGGGACAGAGGGGACAGTGGGGACAGCCGGGACAGCGGGGACAGCGGGGACAGCGGGGACAGCGGGGACAGAGGGGACAGAGGGGACAGCGGGGACAGAGGGGACAGCGGGGACAGAGGGGACAGCCGGGACAGCGGGGACAGCCGGGACAGCGGGGACAGAGGGGACAGCTGGGACAGAGGGGACAGTGGGGACAGCCGGGACAGCGGGGACAGCCGGGACAGCGGGGACAGAGGGGACAGCCGGGACAGAGGGGACAGTGGGGACAGTGGGGACAGTGGGGACAGCGGGGACAGCGGGGCAGCTGGGACAGAGGGGACAGCGGGGACAGCCGGGACAGCGGGGACAGCGGGGACAGAGGGGACAGCGGGGACAGCCGGGACAGAGGGGACAGCGGGGACAGCGGGGACAGAGGGGACAGAGGGGACAGAGGGGACAGCGGGGACAGAGGGGACAGTGGGGACAGAGGGGACAGAGGGGACAGAGGGGACAGAGGGGACAGTGGGGACAGAGGGGACAGCGGGGACAGAGGGGACAGCCAGGACAGCGGGGACAGCGGGGACAGAGGGGACAGCTGGGACAGCCGGGACAGCCAGGACAGCGGGGACAGCGGGGACAGAGGGGACAGCGGGGACAGCCGGGACAGCCGGGACAGCGGGGACAGCGGGGACAGCGGGGACAGAGGGGACAGTGGGGACAGAGGGGGCAGAGGGGACAGCGGGGACAGAGGGGACAGTGGGGACAGCCGGCACAGAGGGGACAGTGGGGACAGAGGGGGCAGAGGGGACAGCCGGCACAGAGGGGACAGTGGGGACAGAGGGGGCAGAGGGGACAGGGGGGACAGAGGGGACAGTGGGGACAGAGGGGACAGAGGGGACAGCGGGGACAGAGGGGACAGAGGGGACAGCCGGCACAGCGGGGGCAGAGGGGACAGAGGGGGCAGAGGGGACAGCGGGGACAGAGGGGACAGTGGGGACAGCGGGGGCAGCCGGGACAGAGGGGACAGAGGGGACAGCGGGGACTGCTAGGACAGCCGGGACAGAGGGGACAGCTGGGACAGCCGGGACAGAGGGGACAGTGGGGACAGTGGGGACAGAGGGGACAGCCGGACAGCGGGGACTGCCGGGACAGCCGGACAGAGGGGACAGCCGGACAGAGGGGACAGAGGGGACAGGTGGGGACAGAGGGACAGAGGGGACAGGTGGGGACAGAGGGGACAGAGGGGGACAGAGGGGACAGAGGGGACAGAGGGGACAGAGGGGACAGTGGGGACAGGGGGGGACAGAGGGGACAGCCGGGACAGAGGGACAGCGGGGACAGAGGGGACAGTGGGGACAGAGGGGGACAGTGGGGACAGAGGGGACAGAGGGGACAGAGGGGACAGTGGGGACAGCGGGGACAGAGGGGACAGCGGGGACAGAGGGGACAGTGGGGACAGAGGGGACAGTGGGGACAGAGGGGACAGCGGGGACAGAGGGGACAGTGGGGACAGCGGGGACAGCGGGGACAGAGGGACAGTGGGGACAGCGGGGACAGAGGGGACAGTGGGGACAGAGGGGACAGCTGGGACAGCCGGGACAGCCGGGACAGCCAGGACAGAGGGGACAGCGGGGACAGAGGGGACAGCGGGGACAGTGGGGACAGCGGGGACAGAGGGGACAGAGGGGACAGCGGGGACAGCGGGGACAGAGGGGGCAGAGGGGACAGAGGGGACAGCCGGCACAGAGGGGACAGTGGGGACAGAGGGGACAGCCGGGACAGCGGGGACTGCTGGGACAGCGGGGACAGAGGGGACAGAGGGGACAGCCGGGACAGCGGGGACTGCCGGGACAGCGGGGACAGTGGGGACAGTGGGGACAGAGGGGACAGCCGGGACAGCGGGGGCAGCTGGGACAGAGGGGACAGCGGGGACAGCCGGGACAGCGGGGACAGTGGGGACAGCGGGGACAGCGGGGACAGCCGGGAAGGGCTGCAGACCCTGCGGCCCCAGTGCGAGAGCGTCACTCAGGCAGCTGCGCAGTGCAGCCTCCACGCAAGCAAAGACAAGATGGCAGAATCCCCTGGTTTCAAGAACCCCCTGTGGGGCGGCTGTCCACTGGTGGCACGCCAGGCCGCGGCTTAGGACAGCGAGACGGCGGTCAGCTGGGGGAGTGATGGAGAAGAAAGCGCGTTTATAAAGCCACGAGGGGAGACGGCTTCTGAGGGCATACGGGAAGCTCGAGTTAGTGAGACGCAGGCACGGTTCTGACGGGATGACGCATGGCCACCGCTGCGTGAGCTCTTTCCAGATTAATCCACAAGTTTAACAAGATTCCAATACAAATACTCAAGGATGCCTTTTGCCAGGAACGGACCCTCCTCGGAAGGGAGGGGTGGCCACACGGTGCTGGGGCAGCAGAGCCCCTGGTGACCCTCCAGTTCTGTACAAGCTGCTGCTTCCACGGGACCACTGCTAGACACCAAGCTAGAGAACCCCCAGTGAAATCAATCACACGCTAACACGGCACAAACGTCCAAGGGCACCTCCTAATCCCATCAGGCCACTCGGCTTTCACCTGCGGTCTGGAGGTTGCTTCTGTGGCCGCATCCGTGGAGACACCCCCCCCCACAGTGCCACGCAACTGCTGCTATCACGTGTGGTCTTGC